AGTGCTCGATAACTGTAATGCGCTTGAATTATCCAGAAAACATCCTCCCCACCCCGTCCATGGAAAAATTTTCTTCCATGAAACTGGTCTCTGGTGCCAAAAAGGTGGGGACTGCTGCTGCAAACACAATTACATGATCTTAGAATTGTTAATATTTGGCAGTGAAAACTCCCCTCTTGGCCTTTTTTTTTTTTTTTTGGTCAAGGTTCTTACTCTGATGCTTATTTTTTCCTCCAGATGATCTTTAAAATAATTTTGTCCAGTTTTCAAAAAATTCTATCGAGATTTTGATTGGAACCATTTTAAAACTCCAAATGAATTTGGAAAAGATTGATATTACGACAGTATCGAAATCATAGCTTCTTCTTCAGGCATGTCGTGTGATTTAAATTTATTCACATTAGCTTTTATTATTCCTTAATAAAGTCTGTCTTGCTCTTCAGGGATGTCATCTTCTCATTTCCTTTCCTTATTTTTCTATTTCTTGGAAAATAGTGAGAAAACTAGATTTGAATCCCTACTATGACCTGCCAATAAGATGCTTTTACAATGTTTTTTTTTTCTTTCTACTCTTAAGTAATATTTTCATAGCTATGCTGAAATGGGGTATAGTCTGTATTTTATTTGAGGGAACTGAAATGGGAGAAGACAGGAAAATAACTTAGTATGAACTGTGGCTGAGAGGAGGTTCAGGATTCTACCTAAGTTGGTACCGCAGGTGTTGAAAATCTGTTAAACTCTGGGCTATTTTCAGGGCCCTTGTCAGGGGTCTCTGTCCTTACGAATATATCTGAACGAAGTTTCTCCAGACTTTGTAGCTCTGGCCGGCCTCTGAGACCCATTCCCTTCCCCATCTAGCCAGCTAGTGGCATCAGCAGTGGTTGAGGCAAGATTTCTGTTCCATTGTTCTCTCTGTAGTAGTAACTCTTAGCACTTTACTTTAGAACTATAGCTCTGTCCAATTTCTGTCCCTTTCATCTATTTCTCCTCAATGGCAAATTAATTCTTAGCAAACAGCACTTTGAGTGTCTTACCTCCCTTCAGGTCAAAGTCCTTAACTCTGTAAAAATGTTTATGCAATAATAGAAAAAAATCAAGATATAAAATGTTTAGATAATGTGAATGATTGCTCATCATGTACCAAACACCATTTGGGTAGAGTGGTAAAGGGGCCATAGTCCATCCTCAAAGAATTTATGTAGTTGGGAAGGCTGACAAGCAAACAGACAATTTCAACTCAATTGGGAAAATTATAAGATTATATTTATGTATTCTAAGATATATAAGTACACACATATGTATACAGAAAAGAATTAAAACAGAAATGCTCCATTTTATTTTTTTAATTAATTATTTTTATGGTGACATTGGTTAACGAAATCGGATAAGTTTCAGCTGTACATTTTAACGGTAAGGCATATATATATTTACATTGAATATTCACCTCCCACAGTTAGATTTCTTTCTGTCACCACATATTTGACCCCTTTTACCCTGTCTACCTCCCCCCGCTCCCTATCCTCTGATAACCATGAGTCTATTGTCCATGTCCATGAGTGAAATGCTTCATTTTAAGTGACAATCTTCAGCTGGCCTTTAAAACTTTTTGATCTTTTCCAAGTTTACACTAATGATAATGTATAACTTGAACAATAGAAAAAAATTTAAAGTTAAACATATATGGGGCTCCCACTGGCCAAATGTGGGACAGTTTGAGCATTAATATAAGTAATGGTAGGCACAGATTACAACACATCGAATACAATGACACCAATTTTTTTAAAGAGGAGAGGGTGAGAGGGACAAACTCTTTATAGAAGAATACCAACTTGCAAATATAGAAGGAATAATAGACTGAAAAAATCTGCATTTATAATCACCATAATGATCAACAACAAATGATTCAGGCAAGAATAATTGATGGATGCTAAAACCACTGAGTGAAAGATTGCTAGAACAAGATATTTCTGCAGTATCAAAGGATGGTCCTATAAATTGCTAATTACAAAGAGGAAAAGGAACTCATAGTATAGAAATCAAGTGGACACTATTTTAACTAACTGACTAAACTTATCACATACCTTCTGGTGTGGTACACTGAGAAGGACACACCATCATCTATACAGTACTTCTGCTACAATGGTTTGTGTGATCCTTACTGCAAAAACGATCTAACAAGTCCGTATTGAGGAACATTCTGTGAAACAACTGACCTAGACTCTTGAAAAATATAAAAGTCGTGAAATTTTTTTCTTTTTTAAATGGGAAACTGCTTCCTCTTTACTTAGGCCTTAGGAAGAAAACTAATTTTGATCACATATTACCTTTTTTAAAAATCTAGTTTTACATAGATTTTTTACAAATAGTGCTCGCTTTGGCAGCACATATACTTAAATTAAAACTAAATGATGAAATAATTTCTTCTGTAAAAATTGGACAAATTTTATCAAAAATATAACATACAATGTAATTCAAATTATATAAAGACTTCCTGGGATTATAACATTCCAAATGTATGACAGTTACAACTCCATCCTAACAGATGAGAAAGTATTTGTTCTCATGTTATTTTGCTTCAAAGAGAAGAACTGAGTCAGTAAGGGAAAATTAAGTACATAATCTATGTCAACATTAATTTAGATTGTTATTGCTAGTAGAAATATTCATGCTGAATAGCACTACTACAACAAAGTATAATAAAATAATATTTTTAATGAACATATCACAGTATCAGATAAACTTTTCATAAGAGAAAAATATGGAGGAACAACAAAAAAAATGAAACAGCTACCACAAACAAAAAATACTGTCTCCCTCATAACTGTATTTGAAGGAGTAAAAACATAGTACCAGTGGTTTGATAGTGCCTATATGAAAGGAAATTGAGTATTGTGTTTTATTTCTTACTTTACACAACTTTCTCTTTATAAAAATGGTTATAGTCATGCTCCTAAAAGTGTAACCCACAGTATCTGAAAGCAAACATTCTTTGTAATTATTTAAAAGGGCCTTTAAAAAAGTTACAATACAAAAATCTGTGCTCTGTGAGCAGTCCTGCACAGTGCATCATAACAATAGGCTTACTTTTAAAACAAAGGCTAAGTGGGAAAAATGAACCACTGATTTAACAAACATCATTTTATAGTTGCTTTTTGCATCTTTTTTTGTTTTGGGATCCCCTACTTCATCAGGTGCTCTGTAACTTGGAGTTCTTCAGCAGATTCTTCTTTCTGACTGCAAATTACTTTAAGAGTCATCTGGACTTTGAGGATCAAATGAATCATCATCATCATCATCATCACCACCATCATCACCACCATCATCTACAAACACATCACCTACTCTGTCATGATCTTCTACCTCATTGAAGCTGAGTCTACAATGTCATCGATATCTTCCTGATAATTTACTATCTATACTTGCCGATATTGAGACTCCAGTTGTTCATTAATTTTCTTGTCTTCTTCCCCTAAAACCTTTGCCTTCCAATTGCTAGATCCAAGGTCTAGGAGAAGCTGAATGTTTCAACCCTGTGTGGATGGAACTCCCTGTCAGAATTCATCATTTTGGGAACCCCGACTGGAAATGCTGAACCCACTCTCCACTCTCTCCGTTCTGCAGTCAATCACCAGCCCAAGCAGAGCCACTCCAGAACGCTGCATGAAAGATCTCAAAATGGGATTATAAGAGAGTAAAGAATTATGATAACTATGTGCAATGTATAATCTTTAATTGGATTCTAGATTTTTAAAAATCTCTAAAAGACATCCTTGGAAAAATTTGAGACATTTAAATATGGAGTATATATTAACAAATACATTTCTTGAGTGTGAGAATTGTATTGTTATGTAGAATAATATCCTTGTTTTTAGGACAATACAGGCCGAAATATATAGGTGTAAAGTTTCACAATGTCAGCAACTAACTTTCAAAATTATAACAATGAATAATGTATACTTATACAATGATATTAGGAAAATGCATTAAATATTAACATTCAAGAGGTGAAGAATATTCTTGCAACTTTTCACTAGGTTTGAAAATTTACAAAATAAAATGATAGGAAAGTTAACTTCATCTAGGTGATGGTTACAGGGGCACAAACATACTTTAAAAAAATCACTGAATTGTAAACTTAAAATTTGTGCTTTTTTTTGTATTTTACTGTATGTATATTATGCTTTAAAATAAGTTAGAGAAAACAACTTAAATGGCTGTCTATTAGGTAAAATAGGAATTCTATGGTCTAGTATGGTCTTGGAAAAGCTCATTTTCCCGGTCCTCTGATCTACCTCCATGAAAGCGCAAGGCCTGATACACTGTGGGCTCTGGCTCATTAGATACCTGTTGAATTATGAAGTTGTCCCCTTTTATCTCACTTCCATCTCTTTCCTTCCCTGACCATCTTCTCACTCTAAAAGATCTTCGCTTTCAACTTTGGAGCACTTAAAATTCTTTCATCAATTCTCTGGAGAGTTCTCTGAAAGCGATTATCTAAAATTTCTGAATTCCTATCTAAATCTATTGAGTTCCGACAACGAACCTGAGTCTGGTAAGAAACGGACTCATGGAGATTACCCGAGGTCACACTCTTAGGATGTAGTGGGCCCCTGATTAGAATTTAAGGTTTACTCTGGGCCAGGTACTTTAACTACTTCGCCTAGTTTGTTTTAACTGTCCCCAACAGTCTGACCACAAGTTAAATGTTCAAATTGTGCTTATTGAGGACTGCATTAATTTCTTACAGAAAATACTGTGTTCTCCTACTAGACCTTTCCCAGACTGTGAACAACTCGGGAACAGTGATTGGTACCAGGAGGCACTCACTAAAAACTGGCTTGTTGAAGGCCGTCAGTTAAGAAGGGAACACACAAAACCAGCCACTAAAGGGCGCTCTCTCGCCCAAGCGCCAACGTAATGCAAAGGGTTAAGTCTAAATCCTTGGGGGTGCACTTGCCTTCCGGCGACGCGGAGACGGAGGCGGAGGCCCCGCCCCACCTAGGGCGCATGCGCACAAGACAGCTGGCAGCGCCCAACCCTGTGGCGGCTCCAGCTTCATTTCAGGTAGAGGAAGGTGTGCGGGGGAGGGGCTTCTCCTGAGGGCAGGGCTGGAGGGGAAGTCTGAGGTCCTGGGTTTTCTTTGGTGGAGCCTCAACGAAGGTTGCCCCCACTTCTGATACAACCCGAATCTGTTCCTGCGGCTGCTCCTTCTGGAGTGGGGGGCAATTTTGGGGTCTGGGGACCAAGGCACTGCCCGTGACCAGCCCATGCCTGCTTGTTTTTGTCACTTTTCAGTCCTGTATCTCCGCACCAATCCAGCTCTTGCACTCGTGCTCCGATCAGTTCCAAGCCCGAGGCTGGTGTTCTGGGTAGCTTGAGGGCACGGAGTTGGGCAGATTCCGAGAACCCGCCGCCTCTCTCCCTCCTCTCCCTTCTCGCCGCCGGGCCCCACCATGTCTGGCTGAGCCACTCGGCGCCTGAAGCGGGGCCTCCAGGAGACTACGTGTGATCTTCTGCTCGGCTCGCGCCTACGCCTTCTGCTCCATTTGCTTTCCCAGCCGAGCGGAAAAGCCGGGGGAACATGTTGCCCGGGCCCTGGGAAGCAGGGCGGTTGGGCACTGACCCCTAAAGTCTGTGGGTACGTCTTCTCGCTCGCAGGCAGTCCAGTCACCCACCCTGCAACCCCTAGTCAGCCAGACGGGAGCCCGCACTGATGTCACAGGGTAAAAGGAACCAAAGGCAACTGAGTGACCCTAGCACAACCCCTGCCCTTGTGGGGCTTTCAGTGTGACACTATGGGTCCTGAACTGGGAAGTTCCCCCTTTCTTACAATTTTGCAACTATCAGTAAAAATTTACACCCCAGTGGGTACTAAGATTGAGAGTTACAGGGCTTGAGGTCAGCTCTAGAAGACTTGGAAGTGGGGTTTTTAGGATACGTGTAGAAACTAACCCAGCACTAGTGCAGTGCCTGGCAACCAGTATACCCTCAATAAACCTTCCTTGAATGAATAAGGAAGTGACAGAGAGCAGGGCTAGAGAGGCAGCTCTACTCATCCCACCCTTGCCTCCCCTGGGTTCATGCAGACAAAAGTAATTAGGTTGAGCCTTTAATCACAGCTGATTTCACAGGCGGGCCAACAAGGAAGAGGAGGGAAAGGCAGAAATCCTGGGGACACAAGATGCTGGCCTGGCTCACAGACACTGCCTCCCTCTGGGACCCTCTCCAGCCCCCACAGCTCTGCCATCAATAATCTGTTTTCTTGTCGCCCTCAGGACACTGGGTTCCCTAGGAGCCGCCCCAGGCTTAATGATTGTCCAGAAGGTGGCTATAAAGGGAGCTTGAGAGGCTGGGTGGAGGAGGGAGCAGAAAAAGCCTACCTCAGCAGATCTAGGCACAGAGAGCCACAAGCAGGAGCTGTGGTCAGAGGCTCCGTGTCCTGGCCAGTAGGGCCTGCTGGCTTCCACCATGGTGGCCCGAGGCTATGGCTATTATCGCATTGTGATCTTCTCGGCCATGTTCGGAGGCTACAGCTTGTATTACTTCAACCGCAAGACCTTCTCTTTTGTCATGCCGTCTTTGGTGGAGGAGATCCCCCTGGACAAGGATGACTTGGGTGAGCCGTGGAAGAGCAGGGTGGTGGGCCCAGGGGCATAGGACCAGCAGGATAAGATGGGTTTTTGTGGCAGTGTGGTGTGTACAGGCATGTCAAGTGTGTGGAGTGTCTGCACAACAGAGGCTGGGGTACAGTCTCCATGTGCCAGATGAAGAGGCTCTGTGATCCATGTACATGGTTGTGGGTGAAGGATTCTGGAGTATGATCCATATATATCTGAGGAGGGTTGCTTATCTGATGTGTCTGTGTGTGCCTGTGACCCACATGTATCCCCAGAGGCACTGTTTATGCTGAGAATATTTAGGGAGGTTCTGAGTAGTTTCCACATCTATGTGGGTACATGCTAAGATCTCAGGGTGCATGCTGGTCCCTGACATCGCGAGCGCTGGGGACTGGGGAGTTGGCACAATGACTTCATATGGCCTAGCAGGAGGAATAAGGTCCCTGACTCCAAATCTAAGCCCTTTGTCCCATGTTCAAAGGTGGGGCAACAGAACTGCCAGAGGCCCTGGGTTGGCATCCAGCGTGAGGGGGAAATCAGGCATATGTAAATCCCAGGGAGGGGAGCTGCTCTGTCCTGCTTCCTTCTTGCCCCCTGACAGCTGTGACTGGAACTCTCCAAGAGGCTGAAAAGTCATGGGTCAGCCTGGGGCTAATGCTGATGGTGAGGCAGGAGGAGTAGTAGGGCTCCCTGAACAAGTATCATTGGATTCCAGTACAGTCTCCTCCTATTCCTCATGAAAGGAAGCTGTCTCACACTGCCAGGCACCTCTGCCCACCTGACCCCATGCTTCCTCCACCCCTTGTGTGCTTTTGCCCTGGCCCCTAACCCCCTCTGGTACCTAACAGATGTCCTTTGCTCCTCTCCCCTGCAGGGCTCATCACTAGCAGCCAGTCTGCAGCTTATGCCATCAGCAAGTTTGTGAGCGGAGTACTTTCTGACCAGATGAGTGCTCGCTGGCTCTTCTCTTCTGGGTTGCTCCTGGTTGGCCTGGTCAATGTAGTCTTTTCCTGGAGCTCCACAGTGCCTGTCTTCGCTGCTCTCTGGTTCCTCAATGGCCTGGCACAGGGGCTGGGCTGGCCCCCTTGTGGGAAGGTCCTGCGGAAGGTGAGTGTCTGCTCCCAAGAAGCCTGTTTAGAATGGCCTAGACCAGTGGTCCCCAACCTTTTTGGCACCAGGGACTGGTGCTCTTATGAGAATCTAATGCCTGATGATCTGAGGTGGAGCTGAGATAGTGACGCTAGTGCTGGGGAGCAGCTGCAAGTACAGATGAAGCTTTGCTTGCTCACCTACCACTCACTTCCTGCTGTGTGGCCTGTTTTCTAACAGGCCACGGACCAGTACCTATCTGTGACCTAGGGGTTGGGGACCCCATGCCTAGAGGATACCTGAAGAGCATGTGGAACCACCGGCACCTCCACCCCCAACCCAGAGCAGGTTCCTCAGGAGTCCCAGTCCAGATCCTATTGCTTGTCAAGATATTTTAGGAGCCTGAACACAGTGGGATCAGGTGGCAGATGAGGGAAATGGCCTTGCCAAGAAGTGCCCTCTCCTTCATCTTTGTAATGTGAGATTCTGAGTCTGCCCCACTTGATCCCCTCCTTCAACATGGACTGTAGGCTGGGCACCTACTCTGTCTCCCTCTGCCCCACAGTGGTTTGAGCCATCTCAGTTTGGCACTTGGTGGGCCATCCTGTCAACCAGCATGAACCTGGCTGGAGGACTGGGCCCTATTCTGGCAACCATCCTCGCCCAGAGCTATAGCTGGCGCAGCACGCTGGCCCTGTCTGGGGCACTGTGCGTGGTTGTTTCCTTCCTCTGTCTCCTGCTCATCTACAATGAACCTGTTGATGTTGGACTCCGAAACCTGGACTCTCCCCCCTCCAATGGCAAGAAGGGTGAGCACCCACGTAAGCTGACCACTTGGCAGCTTTCATCATTCATTTGGCAGACTTTCATTGAGGACTGGCTGTATGCCTGGCCCTGTCCTAGCCAATGGATGTAGGGGGACGGTGGTGATGGAAAGTGGGTTGGGAGTAGATAAAACTCAATCCCAAGAGATAGTACCAGACAAGTGGCAGAGCCAACAAATTCTATGATCCATATTATATTCTGGTCCTTCCTTACAACAGAGCCAGACTTCCCTGTCCTAGACTGCATCCTAAGCCTAAGTGGCTTGTGCGCCTTCCTCCATCCACCCTGGTCCTCAGTATCTTTTTCATTTGTTGAGGTTTACAATGGAGGGGAAAGGGCAGAGCAGTGGCTGAGGGACTACCTCTCTGACTGTTTAGGTGGACTCTGCTCCTGGGGCTGGTTAATGAGTGGTGGGGGCTCAATGGGGGTAGGGCAGCAGAAGGAGAACCTGAGGCCTGGCTTCCTCCCACCCCAGGCTCCTTGAAGGAGGAGAGTACCTTACAGGAGCTACTTCTGTCTCCCTACCTGTGGATACTCTCCACTGGCTACCTTGTGGTGTTTGGAGTAAAGACCTGCTGTACTGACTGGGGCCAGTTCTTCCTTATCCAGGAGAAAGGACAGTCAGCCCTCGTGGGTAAGATGAGTGTTGGGACAAGGGTGGGCATAGGGAGCAGGAATCAATGCAGGGGATGGAACATTCAGGCCCATTTCCTTTTATCCTCTTTCTTCTTTCCC